AAAATTTAAAAAGTTATGATTGTATTTATTATATGTCTTTGCTATAAAACATATATAACAGTTATTACGTCACATATTCAAGACAATATGATCCTTCTAAAAGTAGTGTTACTTTCAGGTTTATATTCATTAGGTACAGACTATTAAATTGTTCTAGATTTCTTTTTTTCTTTTTAATGAAACACTAAGCTAGAATTTTAATGTATATATCTCGATGCCTAACAGCTGGTAGAGAAGACAAAACGTTACCAACATCATGACAGGAAACGGAATTGTTACCGGAATATCATGTGAAAGCTATTAAAAATCATGTGAGCTATTAAAAACACCATTTTCACTTTTCTTTAGAGTTTCAGATTCTCTTACCTCTTGATCTTTTTACTTGAAAATGTTTTGGGGTGGTTTGTTGTTTGTGGGGTTTTGTTTTTTTTAATACTATTTAAAGGCCAAAAAAAGTAAGTAAAACACTTCTGGATTGCACTCACCTGTCCTCAGGGCATCAATTACAAATGTTCTTAACTTTGATCAGGTGACTGGGTGCATTAATAGAATGAATATGAGGAAAGTGAAGCAATAAAATGTTATGTATAGGACCTTATTATCTTAAGTAAATCTCTACTCAAGTTGAAAGGACTATTACACCAAATTTGTACTTCTGTAGGAAGCCAACCTTAACGAGGTTGCTTTATACTGTGCAATCACACAGCCAAGGAAGAGATGATACTTCACAGTGCTCTGTTTGGAGACCTTCGATGAAATACCAAGTAAAATCTCAGTACTCAAAGTCTGTAGGAATAGCTCATTTATAGTAACTTTCTTCTTTGTGAATTAGAAGTTCTAGTTTAATACTTTAGTGATAAACATCCCAGAGTTCTTGAAACATCTGCAACTTCAAAAAAATTATAATTTGCCTTCCTCTCTAAGTTCTCTTAGATGTGGCAATATTTGCACATCCACGTTTAGGATTGATTGAGTGGGATACACAAAAGAAAAAAAAAATGAACTTCAGCTAGCAGAGAAGCTTAATGAAGTCATCTATCATTATTCCTAACATATTCAACCCTTTCCAAATTATTAGCAGCTGATGATTGTTTTCTCTACAAAACATGAATTCTTCATTCCTCATCTTTTGGGCTTCCACTTCTATTGCCTCTGTAATCTCCACTGATTTTCCCTTTACAGCTCTATTTCATTGTCCATATAACACTTCCCCTTTATTTATTTCCCTTATATTTTATTCCAAAGTCACTCCATGGACCACCATCCAACTTACTTCACTTGTTCCCCTCTCTTTTGAAGTACACAGCTTGCTACCAGGCAGAATCTACTCTTTTTTATACCTGCCACATTTGGAAAGCAAAAAATAGGATGTTAAGGAGATACAGGCAAGCCTGCTTCCAGCAGATACAAGAGGAGAAACTCCCTGCTGTGTTCCGAATTCAAGACCCCACATATTACACTTTCTCTCATGGCCTGTAGTATCCTTCTTCTCCAAGGACTATCTTGTCAAGTCTACTACCAACAGTCTCCTCCAAAACCGAGGAAGAAGTAGAACAGTAGGTTACTGCTAAAACGTAAGTCTTCAGGGTTTCAGACACAATTCTTGGGATTCCTCCAAGCTGCACCCAGAGGAGTAATGAAAATGTCATTAACTGCTGTCCTATCCTGTTTCCTTGGCCTCTCCTATGTAGACTGTGCAAGATACTCAATGGCAAATTCCTTTAACTGAATCTTAAAACATTGCATAGAGCAATATACCTATAGTTATGCGTGTTTAGCACTGTACGAATACATATATTTATCTACAGAATAAATTTTTTGAAAATGCCTTTTTTTTTTTTTAAACACACAAATGTCCATGTGTATCTGGGGTTTTTCACACAAAGTAACTCACTTGGAAATTTTGCACTTGAAGTCTTTCCACTTTGGTTCATATGAAGAACCGCAGGTAAAGGATGAAAAAAACCCTCTTAGGCTTGACCCAAACAGAGCAATTAAAAGGCCTATTTGCTTGCCTAATTTAAGCACCTGCTTAATTTTCTGAACTCTCTTTATGCCATTCAAGAGTTTGAGTAAAAATTTTGATGAGTCCCAAATTCAAAGCTTAGAGGCAAGTAAACAATCTCAGTAACCGAAAACAAATTGTTATGCTTAATTTTTAAACACAGTAACTCATGCAATCCAGATAAAATGGAAGTGTAGAAAAGCAATTTTCTTTTTTCACTTGCTTGTAATGTCTTGGAGATCAGACTTTTGCCAAAAGTTCTGTCAAGACTAAAAAATTATTTCAATAGATCTTGAGCAGGAAGAACACAGTGTTCAGTCACACGTGAGCAAAGTTTAGAATTTTAGTCACAATTGATTGAAAATGCTCTTTTGGTCTTGGTTCACAAAAGAGAATTGGTATTAAATATGTCCCTGCTGTTTTTTAATAAGAAATTTCAGAGACATTTGAGCACAGCATACCATAAAGGAGATGAGATGAAGGTAAAGAAACACAGTATCAGTTCTTAACCTCAGTGAAGAGTTGAACAAAACCAATACCTGACACATCAGACCGGGAAAAAATCCCCTCTCATGTTTCCTAGTGCATTATACTTGAAACAGAAAACTCTGGTAATTTTCAAGTATAAGGATTTTTAATACAAGAGAAAAACAATGCAAGAAGATAAACGTTAAAGAAAATATGTTAAGAAATAAAGAAAAGCGGGGAAAACAAGGAAAAAACTACAAGTAAATAAAGCTCTGAGGCAGGTGGTAGCTGCCAGAGTACATAACCAGTTCCATTTTCAAGATAGTTTTGCTTTTTTTTTTATCTCTTAATTACAGTCAAATCTCAATTACTTATGATCTGCAACCGGATCCATGAATATCATGAAGCATCTATGCTGTGGAATCAGTGTCACAAAGGCTGAGACCAAACTTACACTCTGCACCTTTAAACTGTACTGACTACTCTGCCATTTTTCTGGGCCAAGCACATAAAAATATGATAAAAGCCCAGTTTTTTATCTGATTTTTTTTAGCATGTATTCTGACTAATAATATTCAAAATTAACTTTAAAAAATCAAGTCTGTATCAAATCATTAGTGGTTGTGGTACACTGCTCTACTGCACCCTGTGAATAAAACAATCTCCTTTAAGTGCACATGGTCATGGGTTCAGTGTTCAGCCTGTGCTTTCTGAGTAAAATTTAGAGGGTATGCTCTAATGACAATGCAAATGAGAAAGTCAGAATAAGCATTGTCCTTCTTACTGCCAGCATGTGATGCCAGACCATCACTGATCTCATACTGATTGTGGACCAGAATGCTGGTCTTACATTGAGGTTTGAAAAGTATTTATACCTTTCACTGAGGAAAATTGCTTTTCTGATTTATGTTTGGTTCTAACAACAATTGTACCAAGTTTAAAGTAGTTTCAAGTTTTTCTGAACATCCAAAAAGTGCAATAGAAAAGAACATTTAAGTTGCTATTCACAGCCAACATATCACTCAGTGGGACATGGCCTGTTAAGTGAGACACACAGCACAAAAGGCCTAATTTACTCATTTATGTGAGCTGTTTCCAAAATGATTGTGACAGGAATAGAAAAGCCTGCTCTAGAACAAGATCCTCTAACTCAGCTGTGCTTGCATGAGATGATGTGAGTGGCACTAATGCCAAGTATTCTGTTTACACCTTTTATCTCTCTGTAACACTGGACATTTTCAAATCTTCATGCATACATATATATATATACATGCACATAGATAATGGGCATTAAATGGTAGCAGAGCATTAAGTGAACACTAAGTATGAACAGAATCAGACAGCACATGACAGAAAGTAGCACATGAAGCTGTAATTAGAGGGAAAAAAATATGTTGGGTATTCACATAAATTCACAGCCTGATATAAAGCAGTTATATGCTCCCTATTCCTCCTTTAGTGACCAGGCTACCATACAGAGTTCTGGTATTCCAGCATTAAATAGAAACAGATTATAGAAAATTGAAATACAAAAAGGACAAATCTTAAGGTGTAAAAGGTAAAGATTAAAACAAACAAAACTCACTTTCCAATATAGTTGGGAGTATTAATTATCAAAAGGTGAATTAAAAGTGAATTAAAATAATACAAGAGATATAAAGAGGAGTATTCATATGAAAATGTGTAACAAAGAATTAAAACATACTACAATGAAGAAATTTAACATTCAGGAAGCCTATATTTTAGAAAAAAGTATTCTATACAATACACTTTTGAATGCACTGATATGTCCTATCTTGTTCAAGAACCACTCACATAAATATTACCTTCTATTCACCTTTTCTTTTTTTCAGTTGAAATTTAAGATACAAGGGTCAAACTAGGAATCTGTGGCTAGAATTGGATACTTAAAACTTATGATATGCCCTGCATCTGTTCAGGAAGCAGTGGGAACATGTCACATATACATCCAAGCAAAGAACCTGCAAATGGACAAATTTAACTTTCTTTTAAATATCAGAAAGGAAAGGGAAGGGAAACAAACCCCTGTTAATAACTTCTGCAGTATGGCAGCTCTCCTTGTTCTGTCTTAGGCAACAGATAAAGAGTAGTTACACAGGCTCCACAGAACACAATGAATTCTTATCCTTAACAAAAAATAAATTACTCATACCAAATCAGTTGAGTGAAGACTAAAAAAGAAAGACTGAAGTGTAACATCAAATTTATATTCCATAAAAAGATTGAAATTTTACCTTTGTGCAACAAAGGTTTTAGATGGGGGTAGGTAGGGGAAAACACATTAAAACAGTACACAGGCTGTTACTCCATGTGTTTTTGCAGGATGTTAATAAGTGTTTTTAATATATGAAACATCTGGTACTAAAAATCCAATTTGTACCTTTTTTTTAGAGATGGAATAGTTTTAAAGTGCATAGCATAGCTTCTACAAAAATCTGCACAAAACTAACAGCATGGGTCTATCCTTTAGGCTTTTTCTAGGAGTATAAAATATGCAGAATCCTACCAGGCCATATTGCCATGGGCTGTGTTGTCAAGGTGACAGAGTAGCTCCAGGGTTTGAGTGTTGCTTGATGAATCATCAGGGGATTCATGACTGCCTGATTCCAATTCCTTCGGCATCCTCCAAACAGCAGCACATGTCATGACTTTAGTGTCTGAAGCTAAGCAACAGAGAATAATGTCAACAGATCATTGTATGGAGACGTATTTTGTATACACTGCATCAACATTTACACAAATCTATAAGCAATGCACATCTGCTGTTTGAAATATTTAAAAATATTATACCAAGATGAATTCAATGAGCGCAGAACGTGGTTACAGACACAGACCTCAAGTTAGCAGTCAAGTTGCTGCAAAACTCATAATTAGCACACATTTAATGTGCTTCTCCCTGAATAAAGGCAAAATTAAATGCTCATGAAAACTCTTTGGGAGGCAATTTTTCCATGCTTTATTCCCCATACTAGTGTTAATGAAAAAGACACACAAGTTACATTGCACAATTCCTTAACAGTAAGGATGTAGACATCATTTAAACATTTTTCTTTTAAGGGCTAGCTTCAGTTCAATCCAGAGCCTCATCTCATATCCTTTACTACCAATAACTGTTTACTACAAATTAGGTTTCCCATGTAAGTATATGCCTCTAATCCTAGCAAATAAAAACAGCAGAAGAATAAAGACAAACTGAACTTACACGCATACAGCAAAATATTACAATGTATAAAGAACAGGTCACTGTAGATTGAGGAGAAAATACTATATGCACATATGGCATTGCCCATCACCCAATACAGCACTTTGTAGCAGTGCAGAATGGGAGGAGCACTGCACATGTTCCTGCTGCTCCAGCCACTGGTCCGGGGTTCGCCTAAAATGAACAGGTTGGGATTATCCTCTACAGCAGAAACAAAGAAACCAGTCACAGCTACATTAAGCAAAAGCAGGGGGAGCGACCGCCTGTGAAAGGATGTGTTAAATGAGAAGTCCAGACTGGAAGCAGCAACGAACAACATGTTTTCTGTTCTGAGGTCATTTCACCTGCCTCCTTTTCAAAGTTCTACCTCCAAGAACATTTTAGATGATTTTAGTCAAGAGCCATGAGTAAATGTGACCAGCTTCCATCAGTGGAAAGGAAAACAGGAACAACTGTAATGAGAGTGTTTTCTGAAGGAAGGAAGGAGACTGAAAAAGTCTTCCTAGTCTAAAATGGCACGAACAGGGGGAAAAAAGGTGTCTCTTATAATGGTCACCAATCAGGGCATTCAAAGTGGAAAAAAAGGCACTCAACACAGAATAGGACAAAAAGGGATTGATACATAGTAAATAGTCCCAAATGCAAGAACATAGACATGTTTAAAAAGCAGGCATATGAAATAAATTAGAAAAAAGGTAGTTAGGTCAAACCTGTGAGAAGGAAACAGTTATAGGACAACGACTTTATATGAATTCAGAACACACAAACATTGGGTATTTGATTTGATCAAAATGAATATAAAATATATGTATGATGCACATAACTATTCTACAGTAATATGGATATACAAGTTGAATACAGTATCAAGAGATGGATAATCCCCTATTTATTAACACTTAATTGAACCTTTATAACTGTAGAGCATGGTAACTGAACAGCTATTTCCAAATCATTTCAGGCAAATGGTTTACTCTAAATCCATGTGCTATGGAAGAGAAAGAAGCAGCAGCAGATGGCTGTCTTCCCTTAGAAAAGGGCTAATCCATGCTGTGTATGTCATGCAAATAATAAATAACCTAAACTCAAAGTGCAATATAGTTAAAGAAGGTGAGATTTACCAAATGTTTTGCCTCAATATGTGACAGAACATTAATGAACACTGCAGAGAAGCTCCTGTTAGATTATAATTACTGAAAGGCCTGTGCTGCCCATATAAAACGTGAGCTTTTCCAGTATCATCAAGATCTATGAAGAGAAACACGAAAGCAAACCATGGAAAACAAACTAGATGTTCCTCAAGCCATCCTTCTTCTTGGCACAGCACCACAAGTCTTAAGACTTGCTCAAAATGTCACGAACAAACTTAATATTCAGGAAACTGAGATTTTAGGAAAAAAAAGTAGTCTAGACAACACTTTTGAATACACTGATAGGTCCAATCTTCTCCAAGAACCACCTAATAAATATTACCTTCCATTTACCCTTTTCCTTTTTAGTTGAAATTTAACCTACAAGCCTCCAACTAGTAATCAGCGGCTAGAAACAGATCTGTAAAACTTGCACTACATAGCTGAAAATCGAAAAAAAAATAATCAAGAATTAACTATCATTTCTAAAGTATTTTTTTATCAGCTAGATAATAAATAGAAATATTTACGCAAAAGATTTTGAAAAGAACTGAGACTGGTTTTAAGTATTGTTCCCTTTTGATATAATTTTAAATTACCCCTACTAGAATATATCTAAGTATAATGAGATACCTTACACAGCAGATATCTGAATACAGAAACCAAAGAAGTCCTTTCCACTCCCAGGTATGAAATTTACAGCAATATCTGGCACTGATGTTGCATTATCCTTGTTCAGTTTCAGATCAGATTTGTAATTTCATTTACAAAAATCTGTTGTGTTATTTCACATTTTTTTCCTTGAAACTCTCTTATAACTGTGAAATGGCCTTTAAAGCTTGCATAATAACCTTCTATTCCATATTTTTTCTGACAAATTACAGCAGACCACATTCTTATGGTTTCAACTTTTTCTGCTAGTAGATGGGTCAGGTGGTCCCAAAATTACATCAAACAACACTGTAGTTGGTAAAACATAGAGTGAATGTATTAACATTTCTTTGCCCTGCATCTGTTCAAAAAGCAGTGGGAAAATGTCATATACACACAGCCATAAAGCAATGAACTTGCAAATACACAATGGACAAATCTAACTTTCTTTTGAACAACACAAAAGAAGGGGAAACAAACTCCTGTAATAACCTCTGCAGTACTGCAGCTCTCCTTGTCTTGTCTAGGCAACAGAAAAGAGTAGTTACACAAGCACCCTGTAACATAATGAATTCTTAACCTTAACAAACAATAAATTACTGGCACTTATGCCAAATCAGTTGAGTGAAGACTGAAGTGCAACATCAAGTTTATATTTCATAAAAAGATTGAAATGCTAAGTATTTTACCTTTGTGCAATGCAAGTTTTAGATGGAGGCAGGCAGGGAGAAACATTGTCAAACCATCTTTCCTCTTAACACAGCACCACAACTTTAAGACAAGGCCTTGAAATTACATTTTAACTTCTTAAAACTGGAACATTAGTTTCTTGCACAATCAGATTTCTAGATTAAAAACTCTAAAACAACTAAATAAGCACTATTTGGAAGACTGAGGGAGGTCAAAGCATATGCTTGTATGTTTGTATATGTATCTATAGAAATCCCCCTGACACTTGATCTGACCCAGGCTCCTATAAGACTTTGGTGGTTTGAAAACTGAAGTACAGGTTGGTGCAGAATTTCATATGCATAATTTTGTACCATTCCATGCCTGTTTCACTTCACTGGGACTAGTGCTGAGGGATAAAATTAATTGCACATCAGGAAGGGATAACATTAAAAGCCAACACGCACAAAACATTAACACTTGGTACAGACATCATCCTCTGGTTTTAGCTGGATTTGATGATGCTCAGGGAAAGTGACAGACCACTTTCCAGCTGTTGAATGACCATCCATCATGAACAACTGTATGTGCATTGCAAATATTCCAATTTTAATTTTAAACTAAGGATAAATGCTGGAATTAGTTACATGGCTGAAATATGTAGAACAAAGACTTTGTTCAGAGCACTACTAATTTCTCCTTTGACTTTTTATGTACTTATCTACAGTTCTGACACTTTATTAATTCCCAGATGTGTGAAACCAAAATGGAATTGCCACAGCCAACCAAAGAAGTAATTTTAGATATGACTGGCCTTAAGGTAGGCTTAATTTCCCTTTATATATGGAACTTTTAAAACACACCATTTTCTCCCTTGTAAAAGAGAGGGTAAATGTAAGTGCTGAGTGAAAGCATCACTCTTATGACAGATGAAGTAGAGCTTTTTTTGGGTCACAATTCCTCTTAATCAAATAACCACTGACTACAAACCTACAGAAACACAAACAAAAGCACTAACTCTCACTACATTGAAATCAAAGTCTTACAACAAGCTCCTCACAGTCATACGACAAGTTTACTAACAGTATGCAGTATCTGTGGCATTACCCACATAGCTTTATTTCCCAAGTGATCATATTAAAATTTGAAAATCCAGTGCTACTAGGTAATTTCACTACCACCTCTGTAGTGTCATTGCTTGCCTAGAATGCCTACAGGCAAAGAGAAACTCCAGGTTTCCTCATTTTTTACTATATTCACATCACACTACTGCACATAGGCATATAAAAAGACAACGTTTTTATCTACCAGCTCTCATTCCTTAAAAATGTTGAGACCAATATGAAAGTAATATTTAAATGACAATGCCAGTTATTCTGCAAAAGAAAGAAAAACAAGTTAAACACAGTGTCTCTACATCATGCTTCTATGCCTTCCTTAGAACTATTAACATAGTTGGAAACCACTTTTGCGTCCCCACTTCATATTGAAACCAGAATTTTTATTAGTTACAGCACCAATGCAGAAGAGAATACATAAGTTTAAGCTAGATTCTGTTGCAGTCTTATCACTGAGTGTATTAGGAAAAATGTTATTGGGTTAAACTAAGCACTACTGAACTTTCAGAGAGAATAAGTGAAAGGTTTGCAGAAGGGTGTCTAATTGTATTCCTCAAACACTGTTCACATAAAATGATCCAGGAATGAGACAACAAACTGTTGAATCATTGTCACATTTGTTCCTCCTCATTCAAGAGGAATTCCTTGTCTAATTCATCATGCAACTTCAGTATACCTTTTGTTAGGTATTGCTAAGAATGGAGCTCAATGTACTGTTCCAACAGCAACAACCCCCCCGCTAAGCACCATTTCCACAAATCCATCAATACTATCTCCTGGGCAGAGGATACCATCTGCTAGAGTGACTGTATGCATATACCTGGTTCTGTTGCAATGATCCAGGCTTACAACCAAGCAACACAGAATTTAAAGAATAAACAAGTAATCCTACACTT